TGCCATTTGTGAGAAAAAGAACGTCAGTTTGAGGGAAAATGGAGGGAAAAAGAATAAGAATAGTAGGATATAAACAAAGTAATACAGGTGTCTTGCAGTTATCGAATATGTTAATTTTTCTCTCTAATTACATGTAATTTTTAGAGAACTTTGCTAAGAAAAATACAGAAAAGCATGTATATTTTCAAAATTAAAAACTAATGCTTTGTCAATTTTAAAATTGATTATGTTTAAAATGGAAAGAAAAATAAAGACAAAGTTAAATAGGGGTTGTCAAGAGATATTATGTATAAATACTAAAGATTAAAACTCTATATAAATTTCTAGCAAAGTTCTCGTCAAAAGGGAAAGGTGATACATGGGATTTGTGAAGACTGGAAAGACATCCAAAGACATCTAGAGTACTTTGTGTATTATGTGTCTCGAAATTTACAAGTCGCTTGACACGGATCGATGGGAATCGGCGCGATCGACGCGAAATCCAGGAGCCGATTCGGCGAGCCGGGATTATCGTTGGAGTGACAGCGGTTGTAACGCATTATAATTAAATGATGAATTTTAGAATGAGCAAATCGTTCGCTCGTAACGAACCAGACCGCAATGACGGCGCGGTAATTTTGATCGTGGTAATAATTTACGCTTTGTTTCTGCGCGGTGTAACGCAAATTTTGTTAAATTAATGGCGAGGAATAATCGAATGGCTCAACATAGGCAATATAATATAATGAAGAGAGAATTATATTATTATTATGCCGTGATCGACCTGCATGGTTGATAGTGAATCGAGACTTTTGTTTACACAGGATTTTTCTAACGCAATTAATACGCGATCGATTTTGAAAAGAGACATTAAATATTTGCAGATTTTTTAAATATTTGCTTCTATAGAACGTACAAAATATCAAAAGATAGAAATATTAATAGAGATGATTAATTCCATTTTAGAAAATGCAAAAAGTGAAGTTGATCGCTTTAGTCTGAGGACTCATATGTATGAAAATGTATAACGACGATGATAAAAATGTACCTAAGAATCTATGTAAATCGTAAACAAATAGATTCGCCGAAAAGAATCAATAGATTTAAGATTGCAACCAACAAGACAAATAGACATCGTCGAGTCACGATCGGTCAAAGATAATGACATCTGGATTTTCGACTTAATTATTCGGCGAAATTGACGCGTAACGGGTGGATTTCGGCAACGAGAAGATATTCCAACCCCGTTGATTATATTTTTCGCTAAGTACTTTTACTCGGTTACGAGATTCCGACGGGGAATAAGAGATGTCTAGTAGTACCTAGCCGTAGTTAACCGGTAGTAACGATCGGCCTCTTCCCCACCCACGTTTAAACGCGAATCGAGCCGGGGCAGGTAGAAAATATAGTCTGGAGGGAGGGAGAGAAGAAGAAACGGACACGCAAAGATATATAAGAAGGAAGAAAAGAGGAAGAACAAAAGGAGAGAAGGAGAGAAAAATGACCGGCGAAGAAATCGCGAGAGAAAGAACTTGCAAGATGAAAGAAAGAACATCGAGGGAGAGAGAGAGAGAAAGAGAGAGAGAGAGAGAGGAAGAAAAGCGCGAGGCTAGATTAGTCTTCTAACCGGGCTAGGCTAGGCGAAAATAACGATGGCTCGCCATAAATCAGCCGCAGCGACGGTCACGACTGCAGGAATCGCACGGCACGACGAAAAAGCTCCGGTTGGTTACCAATGACTAATACCCCGGTGAGCTTTTTGCCGGGGGCTTCCTTTCACGCGCGTGACACGCTCGTGAGCGCTGCTGCTCCCTCTTATCGGTCTCTCTCTCCTCGTTTAAAAAGAACGGAGACGCGTAGGTCGAGATAAAGTATTGTCATTAAAATCGCGAAATGGGGAATATCGACAAACGATATTTAAAGATACTTACGCATCGGGAAATCATTTGGGAAAACGGCGGGAGGGGGTGTCAGACGCGGAGAAGAAGGAAACGCGAGGATGCTTAAAACCGTGCCGCGGTTTTTTTACACGAGTTGTGAAAGTTTCATCGCGTTAGGCTCGCCCAAGTATCGAGGCCATGCAAAATTATCGATATCTTATATTTTTAATAACACCGGCCACGCTAAAGAAAAATTAATTAAACTACGGTCAGATAAAGTTTTAAGCGACGCCGATACACGATAGACGCTATAATTATCTTATATATTTATTTCACGTCGGTATACTTGATACTCGTACGTCACTTTTGCCCCTTATATATATATATATATATATATATATATATATATATATATATTTTCGCGACGAAAGTCGAAAGTTGATTTGCGGATTATAAACGTGGCGTTAACGAGGATCCGGGATCTAATCAAGCGCATGTCCCCCTCCTCCCCCCCGGCCCCCGCCCCCGCCCGTGACTCGATCGGCCGTTTTTAATGCATCGCCAGCATTTAATGGCACGTATCGATTTCGAACCGCGATGAATGGCATCGAGAATAGCGGTAGTCATAGGTAGGGATAGGGACGATCGCGGACCATCGGATAGAGATCGGGACGGTCGGGGAAAGAGAAAACGAATCCCCCGCGAGAGAATGACATTTCGGCCGACGGCATGACGGCGGGGCGCGACACGCGCGGTAAGAGGGGAGAGGGGAAAAACAAATCTACGACTTGCGCGCGCGAATGATGTTTCAACGGTGCGGCCGACTGGAGCAATTACTGGCGGAATATTGCAATCATTACGTCTCTATCTCTTTGCCCGAGAGCGCCTCGCCCGTCTGTCTCCGTCACGTTTTAAAAATGATCACGATATGTATATACATATATGGGGTATACATGGTACGTATGTACGTCGGGATTGTTGGCAAAACCGCCCATCGGCGGTGCCCATCGAAAATCACTCTGTAGAATGCCGCCAATCAAAAGATCGTGAACCGGTGGAAACCGATTTAAGTCGTCCGGCCCGATATGACGATAAAATAGATAGCTGTTACGCAATTTTTTTTTTTTTTTTTTTTTTTTTTTTTCAGCGAAAATATACAGGCGCACGAAGAGCTTCTGATATCCAGAGCGGCTCGAGATTATCGCTTTATTTTTAATTTTTGATATGCATATGTAAATTCATGAAAGATTCGAAGAAAAAACGCGAGAATGGTTTTATAATATTCGTAAAATTCGATTTTGCGAAAGAAGAAATACTTGGCAACAATAACCGTGTATGTATTTCTGAGGAAAGATTTCAAACACTTTTTTCCTGCTATAAATAATGTTTTCGAAAACTATCAACCCAGAAATAATTAAATATAAATTCGTGTGTGCGAAAACAATAGATGAATAAAGATTAAATGTGAAAAATTTGAAACGAGAATTAGAAGCAATTTTACAAGAGAGTTATCTAGTAATTTATTCTTGCTTAAAAACGATTGGATTAATCTGTCGATAAAAATTATCAGAATGCATTGATTTCTCTTTGATTCGCGGAAACATTTACAAACGAACGTCTATCGCTCTTAACAACTTAACTCTCGAACGGGCAAGTTTTCTCACGTAGCTCTTATCTATCGTGATTATGATTATAAACCGATAATTCGCGCCGATATATGACAATGCGTAAAAATACACATATCGTACTATTTTATTATGTACTCGTATCAATTAATCCGCACTTTCTTCCAAAATATTGCGTTATAATAGTGCTTGCAACTACTCTGCTTACTAATTAAAAAAATTCAATATTAACTCGATAAAAATCAAAGATTTGAAATATACAAAAGAGAATTTGATGCCAAAAATAAAAATAAAAACGTACAAAATTTGTCAATTATCTTGAAATAAATGTTGACATTTAAATTCATTTTTAATTTTTTTTCCTTTTCAATGATATGACAAACAATCGTTCAAGCTACTTTTAATTTAAATATTCATCATTGTTTCCTAAATTTTTTCCAAAATAAAGTAATCTTGTAAAAGGTTTGTTTCGTATATCTTCTACCTTTTTTACCGCGAGTAAAAATGATTCGATCGGTGCTTCGACAGAACAAGAATCTCGGACGCATCGCTTTCTTTTGATTTATCAATGTTAACGACCTCATGACACGAGAATGCGTTAATCAGTGCAGAAAATGTACAAAATACCGCGGTCTCTCTCTTTCGCCACAGCCAGATGAGGCTGTTTTTACGCTGCCTTGATGCGTGAACCGGGCGATTTTTTTAATTTCATCTGATTCGCGACGGAAAAAGAAAAGAAAGAGGAAAAGAGAGAGATGAAAACATAATTATACCTTGAAATAATATCATTTTAACCGCGTACTAATTGTTATAATCTTTCTTTTTTTAAAAATATGATATATAAACTAGAATTACATACTGCATTATATTAGAAGAATACACGATACTACAAGTTTATATATAATACATTTCGAGAATAAATATCAAAATTATTACAATATACATACATATAAGACAAATTATATAAACGAAGGAAATACGGTGGAAATAAATATATTTAATTTAAAAATCGATTATAACAATTATTTTCTTCATCATTTTAGCATTTTCGTCAAGTCATAAGAGAATAACATCTTGCAAAATACATTAACAAAAATATAATGTTCTGAAAAAGATTATAAAAAATTTTAGAAATCGATTTTTAAACTTCTTAAATCTATTTTATAAATATAAAAAATATTTCTGTACCTGAGAAGCAGAATGGAGCAAATTCAATTCAATTGGTTTAGTCACTATTTGACATTTCGATTACGTATTTATTTATTATATAGCGAGGAAAATAATAAATTTATCAAATGCGTGATTGCCTCGTGGAATTTTTAAAATACAAATACACGAAATATATATAATTTAACCAAATTATATCTTTCACATAAAAATCCCAAACATATATTAAAAATACCTATTATTTTACGCGCGCAAATTCCAATTTAGCCGATTTTGCCTAACGTTATTTTATTTCGGTGATGCGCGCTTTTCGAAATTTATGAAAAAAAATGAGAGCTTTTCAACTTACATTTGGTTTGCCTCTCAGGTGCAAATCTCCCGACGAATTTCCAAGACACATCCTATACACAATCCACGCGAGAAGCAAATGTCTAACGCGCGTCTGCACATCCTATTAGCGGCAGGTTTTACGCATACGACACGGAGCACGGGCGAGCGTGCCCGTCGTCGGTGTCGCGCAACAAGGAGGAGAGAAAGAGAGAGACGGAGCGACGCCAGCTGATCGACGCCGCGGCGCGGCGCATCGCGATGTCGCGGTATCTACGATAGCGGCGGCTAACGCCGCGATGCGTTACGTTGCAATTCTCTCTCGGCCGATCCTCAATGTCATGTTCGCCGATAACGCGCCGCGGAAAACATCGTCGCGGCTCTCGTTCGGAAAGTCGCCTAGTCTCTCGCCGGCGACGGCGACGGTGAACAATTGAACGCGTAACGATCGTTAAATGTCGGAACGTATGCACGGTGTGTATGTGCGTATGTACGCGTTGCGCGGAAAGCAGACAAGGAGAATAAGTAGAAAAAGACTAGAGCGAGACGCGGACAGATTGTGTGCGTGTGTGTGTGTGTGTGTGTGTGTGTGTATCGTGTGAGAGGGAGAGAGAGAGAGGGAGGGAGAGGGAGAGCTGGAACACGCGACCTTCGCGAAACGTCAAATGTCTATGCTACTTGGAGCGCAGGGCCGTATTGCCGAAAGAGTCGTGCCCGTGATAATGTTGCAATAAGCATTAATATAATTTTACGACAGAATTTATTTACTTGGAATCGAAGACTCGATCACTGCGTATTCATCTTTCGATTTTGTTCCCTCTTCAAATATCGATCGTCAATGTTGACGATTGTCGCGGAATAAATATTTCCCTCGTCTCCGTTGCGTATGACTGCAATTCATATGTTTACGGTAAATGGAATACGTAAATTTAACGTTACGTCAAATTCGTGCAAATAGCAACGTGTGAATCCGGGATGAAAATTATCACACTGGTATTTGCAATGAATGCGAGAGACCTTAGCATTTACCGTATTCCAAGTACGGTATTGCGACGGCTTCTTATTGAAGTTGCTGTAAAATCCGACGTCTCTCTGACGTACGTACAACACGAGCGCTCCGAATATCGGATACAGTTCTCGGACGAAGACAGACTGCGCGGCGCGAGAAACGAGGACGGACGTCTTCGGTATTCTCGTCCTCTCGCCGCGAGCGATACGTCACGCGGTCTGTCTCTGTCAAGGCAAGAGTCGATCGCGGAAACGCTATTATCGTCATCGTTAGACGCGTGAGGGGAGGGCGGGGGAGGCAAGGTGTCGCGACGTAATGAAATGTAAAAATAAAAGAAAGATGGGAAATGATTGGGGCTAATTATCTCGGGTTTAAAGCGCGAAAAAAAATGTCCGAAAAGGTGACCAATTTTGACGACCCGATAAGAAAGGGAATACAAATTTTCCAGAAAAATGTCGTGGATATTCTACACGTTCGAAGTTGTTTTCTAACAATATTAGAGAATGAAATAACTCGAATCGATAACTTTGATAACACAATTTCTTTTAGATGATTAAGATTGTAAGATTTCATCGATTATAAGGAAAATCTACGCGATAATCGTCAAATGTTGACTATCGGTGAGATTTCTTTCGCGTGAAAATTTACAGATTAAACAAAAATTCGCATTCCGTTTTCAAGTACGCACAATATTCGTCCCGTTCTAAGACTATAAATAAGATTATAACGGGTGCGTATCTCGACGTGAAAAATCATTTCAACGAATCCGTACGAAATATCGAGCTAATCGAATTATGTAGCTGGAAACAGAAGGTGATTCTAGGCGAAAGGTTCGAACTGTTGAAATACGTTGCGGCAATCGGGATTTGATCACAGAGAGCGCGTGCCACCGTTACCACTTGCACTTTACTTCCATGCGTACGATCGGATTTAACAATGGTTGTTAAAGCCCCTTTACGGCGAATTCGACTAATTAAAGCGATAGGGCAGAGCGAGAGAGCCCGCCAAGGGCAAAAGTGGATGTTGGCACGGAAGAAAATTCCACGCAGAAGCGAGCGCGCTGCGCTTAGAACCTATTATTGGATCATTGTCAGTCAAGAAACTCGAAGAGACAAAAAGTTTGCACATTGTCGAGTGAGATAGATTTATAAAAAAAAATGTAAAGAACGCTCGCAAAAAATGTCTTTGCTACCAACGCCCGTTTTCTCTCTCTTACTTTTAATCGTGTTAAGGGAAAACAAATCAATCTCTCGCGTTACGTGACAAATTAATAAATAAATTAACCTTAATACGCAAAGTTTCGTCGTTTCGAAGAGAACAAACTGTGCGTGTCGTTCGTTCCTCTAGTCTAAATTTTGCCCCAAAGTATCCCTCGATTCGCGACACAAGCTGTCACATTTTCCGTAATACTGTCAATCAAGAGACGTCTTTAAATTAAATATTTTAATAAACTTGCCCACATATATGACATATAACGATAAATTAAAGCAGAGAAAAAAACAAAAACCTACCAACTCGAGTCATTTTCGCATAACATGGTTCGGATTAATTGTTTTCGATCAAATTCGCAGGAATTTGGAATGAGCCCACCTCGAAATCTACGTCACTACGCCTGCCGTTTCTGCTGCTGCTGCGAGGTGAAATCCGCGAGAGAATACCTCGATGCTCTCGGATAGCTAAAGCCTCCTCGGCGTCGCTCTCGTAGGAGAGGGCCGTTCGATCGCTCCAGATTTCCTCGGGACCGTCATACTTTACTTTTGCTCGTGCACGAGCGTCGACGAATTCTCCTCGTCTCCTCGGCTCTCTCGTCGTCGTGCTCGGAAAAAACGACCCGCCGTTTACCTCCCCTACACGTTTCCCTCCCTCTTTTTCATCAATTTCTCGACGCACGTGAGGTATTTTCGTCCGCCCGTGTTGGTGCCTCACGAAACACGCACTCTCGCAACGTGCCTCTTTCTCGAGCAGCACGCGCGCGCTTTATCGCACCTTTCTCGTAATATCCTTCTGTACTTTTTCCTTTAACATTTCCTCTTTTCTTTTCTTGCAAATTCGCGCTCGAGATGGCGGCAATAAATACGCGCTCACCCTTCCTCCCTCTGGCTCGAGAGAGACAGGAAGAGAGAGAGAGAGACAGAGAGAGAGAGAGAGAGAGAGAGAGAGACAGACAGACTTTGTCTCCGCTCGAAAAGGAATATTGGCGATTCAAGATGCGTCGCGACGACGGAAGCCGCGCGCGAGACCCCGCGAGACGCGTTCGCCTCCTCGACGTCTGCTCGCGCGACGGCCCCAGGTGCGTCGCTCGCGCGGTACGCGTTGCACTGTTCACTGTCACGTGTGTCGCGGCGCGTCGCGGCACGCGCGATGGCCACCGTGCCAAGGAGCGTACGTTTCGAGATCTCCTTCTTTTCCTCTCTCTCTCTCTCTCTCTCTCTCTCTCTCTCTCTCTCTCTTTCTCTCTCTGTTTTTCCCTCTGCTTCTGGCCAGGCTTTTCCGAGGAGGAAACCAAACTATTTCGAACGCGCGTCCACGTCACGACGTGACAAACGCACGGGATCGGCCGCGAGATTCGAAGGCGGCTGGCTGCCAGCACTTTTCGGGGGGGCCGTGCAAGGTCGCACGAGTGTGTCGATTTCTAAGTTTCACGGCTGTCGCTCTTGAACGTGACGTGCACGCGCCGCCGTCGACTGTCAGAGAGCTGTCAGAGAGCGCGCGGTTTCACGTGTCTCCGTCGTTTCCCCCGATCGGAGCCCCGCGAGGGAGATACGGGAAAATCCGTCGTTTGCTTCGCACTTTGAGACAGCTACGTCGGACAACGCGCGCAGATGCGGATCGACGGATCGACATCGAATTGAAACGCCATCCGAGAGCGCGAAACTTGGCGCGTGTCTCTCGCGATGCGGTTTTCGCGTGACGCGAGGTCACGCTTTTTCTCGTTCTCTCCGTGGATCCCTTCGCTCGCCGTCCTTCTTCTCCATCTCCTTCCTTCTCCTCCGTTTCTTTCTCTCCCCGTTTGTCCCTCCTTTCCATCCTGTCTCATCTACTTGACCGCAAACTCGTTAGATAGATAAATGACAGGCAGCGGTGACAGCGGAATGTCAGTGGCAGCGACGGCAACGACGGCGGTTAACGAACGTGGCACGTCGACGAACGTGGACGAAAGGGACAGAATTGTCGTGCTCGCACCCTCTCCGATGTAAACGGATACTCGTTTCCCTTTTAATCGAGTGGCGAGATCGAACATTCGTCACGACGGGATCGCACGCGACACAAAAACGTCGGGACGGTTGTCCGCCCCCGCGACGAAAACGACGTCGACAACGATGAGAATAATGATCCGCGCACTGGGCCCGCGTTCTCTCGTGAAAAAACGTCGAACACCGCGTCTCAATATTTACCTTGCTACATGTAAAACGAATAGAGGAGCCTGCCTGAATCGAATGAAGGAAGGCTCGAACCGGCCCACTGTGACGTCGCCGGCCTACTGTCAGCTCAGCGCTCGCTCGGCCCCGCGGTCAACTAACCTACCGTGTTCGCCGCGCAGACCGTACCGACAAAATAAATCGATTCTGCGCGGCCGAGCGCCGTGAGCGCCGCGCGATAAATCCGCGCGTCCGTCCACGCGATTTTCGGCGTCGCCCGCGCTCCTCCACGCGCTCTTTTCGCGATCGTCTCATCGCGTTTCCACGGTCGCTCGCACGACTCGCGCAGTACATAGTCAGGTGTGAAACGCTCACGCGCGCACCGCCGCGTACACACGCACGCGCGCGCTCACCCACACACCCGCGGCCGCGACGCCGTGTGCGCGTGCGCGCGCACGCACACTTCGGCGAGCCGCGCGCGCACCGATACTCGCACACACGTATCGATGACAACGTCGCGCACGTTTCCCTCGCGAATCTCGCGATTCGTAGCCGCGGCATAGGCGTCGTTGGACCAAACGAAAAAGTACGCATGTTGCCAGTAACCGAGGGAGACGGAGAGAAAATGAGAAAGGGTGCTTGATAGGCACCGCGAGAGAAAGATGGTAGGGAGGGGGACGCGTAAAAGTATCTCACGCATTGAGCGTTACGCTGAGCGCGTGGAAGCTAATTATTATTTTCGACGTGGAATATAGAACGTAGCTGCGTGTTCCTTCGCCTGTCTAACGATGACGGATCGACTCCTTCGTAAGTTTGCCGATAGAATTTCATGGCGAAATCTGTGTGAGAGTCCTTGTGAAATAAACGCGATGAAAATACAAGTACGATAAAGCTTGTATTTTAAAACAATCGACGTAGGCTCTTAATTGAATGCTTTTAAATTTTTTGCGATAAATCCTACAGCGTGATAATTTATAAGGCCTTTATACTTGGTAATATCGTCGTTTAAGAAATCCGACATCGCTTAACTAATATTTATTTGTGAAATTGATATTTTATTTGCAATCTTCGCGCATATTCCGCTATCTATCACTGTTTTATTACGTGAATAAATGAGAACAATTTTTTACGGGCAGAAATTTTATCAATAATATAAACAAATTTTTGTTATTTTATATATTTTTCGCCCTTTCTCTCAATAAAATTTCGCTTCCGTCATTTACATAATATTGCTTTTTGTATAAACATCGATGTCTGATAAAAATAGCTAAAATTCCATGCGATAAAAAACTTCCTCTCTTCTCATATTTATTTTATTACTCAATCATACATATTATTTCCGTATTAAAAATAAATAATTACTCCTCAGATTACGAGTTGCTATTGTTACGTTATATTTCTTTCTTATCCTTTATATCCTATTCTTGCAGTGTGTCATACATGTACGTGCGTTTGCTTCGTTTGCAAGTTTTATTAAACTTTGCGGAGGAATGCGTGCATATGTATTTGTCTATCGTGAGTCGCGGTGATGCACTCTGCTTTTATATAGATTCTTAGGTAACGCAAATTGCGTCCGATGCTCGTTTACAGTTCCGCGTCAGAAAGACAGACGTAATAATAAGTAGTGCGTGTGCGATCGGATCAGTATTTCTCAACTTGGTACGTTTCCATCCCGTACCAATTAATTCGCGAGAGACAATTAACCGGCAAAAAATTTATACGTATATTTATATTTCATACATCCTTTTCTTTAATAATAACAGGAAAATGTATATATTATACTTAATAATATTTATAATAATTTATTATCTTCGTAAATTTATTTTAAAAAGACATTTCAGATATGGCTAATGGCGAGCTTATATAAAGTTAAATGATAGATGCAGCTTGCACGACGGCAAATATGCCGCGTAAATTTTAACGAAATTTTTACGGATTAAAATATCTATCGAAAATGACTAAAGAGCAGTAATACATTGACGCATGTATTGCCAGCGGATTTACGAAGAAAAAGTTGCTTCGTGATCTTTATCGAACGATCGTTGCTCATAAATTATACTCATAAATTGATGATTTACTATCGATGCGTAGATATAAAACGTAGTCTATTTGAGAAAAACCAAAGCGGAAAAACCAAATTGGTATCTTACCAATATTTTTCGTCTTGTATAATCGTAATTAATAATTTCATATTGAACACATATAATTAATACTTATGATTTGTCGTTTTCGAGAATATTTTCCACATTTTATCGCATATTATTCTACAGTCCAATGATTTGAAAAAAGTATACAATACGCTGACAAGATTAGACAAAATCTTTTAACCAGATATTAATTCGAAAAAATGAAAATAACTAATAAATTTTGTACAAAAGTAATATTTATCGAGCCTCGAGTACGTGATTTATTAAATTATATCTTGTAATTTGAAATTAAAAAAATGAAAAAATTAGAAAACTGCCAGTGAAAAATGTATTGTTAATCAAACTTGATTCAAAAGATCGATCTCCCTTTCTTTTATTGGAGATGGAAAAAAGAAAGCCACAGAAGAGGACCACACACGTGAGAGGGTTAGCGGTTGCTCTTGCTTTCGGACATCTGCGGTCCTGCGTGTCAAACGCGATTATGGACCGTCATCGCGTACATATATTATACGCATCGATCCGACGCGACCACGCGTCCGTTGTTTTTTCTCTTGCATCATTTTTTTTATAACCATGCGGTTACGCTGAATTGCGCGTCTACGCGTTCTTAGGTAACGCACGGCGCGCGCGTGTTGCGTGAACGGAGAGAATTGCTATAGAGCCCGCCGTTTTATTTTTACTTCGCACAACTGTGCGAGCTGCTGGCCGGCCAGCATATCGGACGCTCGTGACGTCGCCGAAAGTGCATCCTCGCGCGCGCGCGCTCGCTCGCTCGCGTGTTAGGTAATCCTGAGATAGCGCATCACAGTGAGATCTTCTCGTTATAATGACGCGCGATTGCAGAATGTCATCGTTGGATCGCGATCTAGAACCGTACTCTCACATTTATTACTTGACGTTTAATAAAAAAATTGAAAATTTCCGATGCACGTATCACT